AGCCATTTGCAATTTCAATTCAAGGAGATCTGATGCCTCCACGGACACCAGGCATGCATGTGGCACACAGACATACACACAGGCAGTCATAACCATAAAATAAAATAACTACTTCAATACTATAAAAATAAGATACTTTTCTGTTAAAGTTCATGTTCACACTCGGCAACTCCACTTCTAGGAATTTGTTTTTAGAGTATTTACATATTTATTTAAAGATTATATTTTTTTAAATTTTATGTTTTTGCCTGCATATATGTATGTATGTATGTGTACCTCATGAGTGCCTGGTGCCCTTGGAGGCCAGAAGAGGGAATCACATTCCCCTGGAACTGGAGTTACAGAGAGCTGTGAGCTACCATGTGGGTGCTGTGAACTGAACCCAAGGCCTCTGCAAGAGCAGCCACAGAGCTATCTTAGTCACAGAGCTATCTCTCCAGCCCCCATTCAAGTCTTTAAAACATGCGTAAGTTGAAGTATTAAATACTAGTAAAATTACAGGGGCCAGTGAGATGGTAAAGGGGCTTGTGGCCAAGTGAGGGCCTGAGTTCAATCACTGTATCCTACACTGTGGAAGGAGAGAACTGACACCCACATGTTGTCCTCCGACGCATGTGCACCCCAGCACTCAAACACCCACACATAAAAATTCGTAAGTAAATATATGCGATTAAAGACTTTTAGAAAAAAAGAGATAAAGTCTCAACAGTCACTTTCCACCTTTTTCTCCCTTTTTCTTTTTTATCCCTATACTTAAGAGTTGAGCCTGGGGCCTTGGGCACACAAGGAAAGTTCCCCATCGCTGAACTACTTACTATATGGAACTACTTAATATTCTCAGCTCAGCTTTCCCTTTTAACTTTATATGACAAATTTTAATATTTACCATACTATGTATAATTTTAATAATTAGCAAAAATAAAGATAAATATATTTTAGTGTGAGAACAGAAGAAGGAGAAGGAAAGTTAGTTTAATTCCTAACAACGAAACAATGAGTAGAAAGAATATCTCCTGTTGCCATTTCTGTCATATGATCAAGTCTCTTTGGCAAAGATTTTTCTTTGAGCCTTGGCTGCTTCAGCTATGAAAATCTGTCTTTTGGTTTTTGCTTGAGAAAGTTTCTCTGCAGCCCAGGCTGTCCTAGCTAGCCTCAAACCCTTGGCAATTCTCTTGTCCCTGCCTTCAGAGTGCTGGGACCACAAGAGCCACAATGCCCAGCTTAGAGTTCTTAAAATCTGACCAAAGCCTAAAAAGTTCTACCATTTGTGTTTAAAATGTTATGGTTATAGAATAAGAGGCAAACTTCTGGGGCACCAGCTTGCAGCCACATAAATATGGCTTACATACCTCTATGGAATAGTTTGAACTGACAGATAGAAGGCTTGGTTCTTCACCTGAAAGATGAGGTATGGGGTCGTCCAAGGGTGTATTTCAGGCCACTATGCATGGTGGCAAGTGCCCAAACTGGCTAAGCCATCTCATCTGCCCATCTTTTAAATTTCCTATTGAGTTTTCCTTTCCACATAACTCTGTATCAGCTCATGCATGATGTCAAAAACAGACTCAGAATCCCAACCCCAATCCAATTATTTATATATATAAAAAAAAATACTGCACTCACCAAAAAATTGCTTCTTGTCTTCATAGTATTTGTTTCCGTATTTGTCTTCTCCCACCAATGTACCAAGCCTTATATCATTTGCCCTTTAAATACACAGGAATAAAACAAAACAAGGCATCTCAGAATGATTCATTGTTCAAGACAAAACCAGAAATAAAGACAAAGTACCACAGACTGCTGCGTTGACTACAAGAACGAGGAGCTACTGGGGATGCTCGCTGCTTGTACACCGCTAGCCTTCAGCAGAAGGCTCTTGCCACTCAACGCTCACGAACCAACTTTCCGGTAAAGAGCTCTGAGTGTCCTGTGTTGTTCCAGAAGCATATAGACAGGTGGGGGGAATGAACGCAACAGATGTGCTTAGATTACACTTAAAACACTACCTTCAAGCCACGGTCCATGGATCTACTATTAGCCAGGCACCCAGAGACACTAAGTTAGCAAAACCTTCAGGGAGTCAAAATACTTCATCATCTTCGTATTACGAGTGTCCCCTGGATTATTCAGTATACCACCGAGTCTCCAAGTAGTTCCCCGGATTTGCTGCTGCTTATGGGGATAATCAGGACTGGCATGATCACCTCCTTCAACTTCTTACAGTACACAGTGCAAAGGAAAACTTGCCCAAGGTCACCACGGGGGTAGAGGGGCTGCTATGCTAAGCCTCATTACACCCCAGGACTCGGGACCGGGGCAGCCCACCTACCCTACCCCCTGTGTCACAGCTCCGTCACTAGAGGCTGAGCTGGACTCAGAGACGTCAGTTCAGGGAACTCAACACTGGGACTGAACTTGTCCTTGACGGGAATCGTGGACCTCCAAGAAGATCTAATCTGGGCCCCTTTCCAGGAAAGCAGCCAGCGGAGGTCCGTCCCCAGAGACCCAGGGTCTAGCTCTGGCCTCCTACCTGAAGAAAACCCGTAGGAGGCCCCGCAGGCCGCCGTGGCCGGTGACCTGCTGCAGGCCGCGCTTCAGTACCTCCACCAGCTCCATTCCCATCTGCATGGTCCGCCCTTTCCGTGCTCCGGGTAAAACCCGCCGGCCGGAAGACTGGACGCAAGGAACCGTCGTTTGGAGGTTCCTGCTCACGAGCGGGCCGCGGAGGTCGCTCTGCGCATGCGCAGAACTGGAGCTCGCGCAGGGTGATGTTTCTAGGTCTTACTGTATGCACAGGTTGGTGTCTTCCTAAAGGTGAAATTGTTTAATGTTTTCAGAGGCTGTACCCAGAAAGCGACCCTGCGGTGGGAAGTACATCAAGCAAAGCTTCCCCAGATGGGAGTTTCTCTTGTAGAAACAAGTTTCTTCCTCCAGACAACGATGGCGCTCCTTCCAAAAATTCCTTATAGCACTAGAAGCTAAGAAATGCACTACTGACCCCACAGCGGTATTGTACATTTAATACAGAGTGCGTATGATTCTGAATTTATTAAGCGTCGGTGTGTTGGTAGATGGGTAATGAGGAATTGCAAAGAATACGATTAAGTAAAATACCTCAAGGATTTGTTATTGTATAGTAGCGAGGTTAATATTCAAAATGTAAGCATAGACACTGTGTAGACTCCATTCACGGAGTTAGTGCTTTACAAAATAATAATGGAAACAAAACTGGCAAACCCCTAACCATTTAAAAAGAGAGAGAGAAAACTAGAATTAATAAAACTAAAGATTAAAAACAGGAACGGGTCAAGTAGACAAGGCTGGCCAGACTGCACACCTCACGGATACGCCTGCCTCTGCTTCCCTGGCACTGAGACTACAAAGGTGCCACCATACCCGCATTTGGTACATGGGGTCTGAGATGTAACTCAGCTTCTCATGCTTGCAAGGCAGGCTAGGATCAAACTCAGGTCCTTGGCAAAAGCAGCCAATATTCTTAACCTTATTTTTTAAATATTTTTTTATATTTATGTAAGTACCTGAATGTGAACAGACGTCCACCATCATGCGTGGCTTGTCTGGTTTCTGGAAATCCAGGAAGCACTTTACCCACTCCATCACCCCAGCCCTAGGATCGTTTTTCTGTTTGTTTTTTTGGTTTTTTTTTAGGCTGAAAAATAAATAAATCACATCATATATGTGTATGTATTAAATGTTCTATATTCACTCTTTTATCATGGTTATTTTGATTGTTTTCATCTCTTGGCTATTGTGAACAATGTGCCAGAGAACATGGGTGTGCAGATATTAAGATCCAGTTTCTTAAGCATTTGGATATATACCCAGAAGTGGGACTTCTGGGTCATATGGCAATTCTAAGTTTTAAAGAATAATTATATTGCTTTGTGCTGTGTTTGCACCATGGTTTTGTCCCACAAACAGTGCATAGGAATCCAATACCCACCCAGCACACACACACACACACACACACACACACACACGTTAGAGATGATCAGGTACTATAAATTCGAACATCACTGATGCTGTAACAATGAAGTTATTTGTATTTTGTTCCCGAGTCTTGTGTTTTTTTACATATTCCTCACAGAACAAATCTTTTTTGATGACTAGAATGCAGGAAAGTCACAGGAGACTTCTGAGAGCAGGAAAGAAGGCAAATTAACCTCCAGCTCTTACCCTTAGAAAGCAGCTAGTAGGCCGTGAGAGGCAGAACAGAGGGACTCTGGGCATGCCCTGGCTTCTGTCCCACTGCAAGTCCCAGCTAAGAGCCACTAACACTTAGTGACTACAGAGACATGATTTCTGCAAGAACCCTGTTCTGACTGAATGGAGTCAGGTTGTCCCTGACAACCTCTGTCTGTATTATACATTCATGCGAAAATGCACACTTCCAACTGGTAGGTTTGGGGTGGCTAACTGCAAAACCACTGATCCCTGACATACTGTCAATAGCTTTGAAGGCCCTTCTCTATCTTTCCGTTTGTACCTTCTGCCTACCTCCCCGACTATTACCTAGACTTGATTCTCTCGCTTCTTGATGACTAGTTTCATATGTATATATACATATAAAAGTATTGTTACACATATGTAACAATAAACTGGTTCAATTATATTCTGCATGCTTTATGTACTTATTCTTATCAATGCAGGTTATCTTTGTTTATATAATCTTAGAGTGTGTGTGTGTGTGTGTGTGTGTGTGTGTAAGGGGGGGCCATGTATGTGCCATAGTGCATATGTGGAGCTCAAAGGAAAGAGCTGGCCTTTCACAGAAAGTGCTCTGACCCTCTAAGCCATCTTGCCATTATTTTTGTTCTTAAAACGCTTATATGATTTTCTTCCTTCTACTGCTGGGGACTGAACCTCGGGCCTTGGAAATGCCAAGCTAAGCCCAAGCTCTACTACTGGGATGCCCTATGATGTGGAAGGCATCCTAATGCCAAATAAATAGGTCATTGAAATAAAATACATTGACAGGATTCAGAACTTTGTAATGCAAGTCACATTTTAATACAGTTTCAAAAAGACTTCCCAATGTAACTACAAATTTCATCAGGAAAAATATCTCAAAGAAATAACCATTAGGACACTTTTTTTTTGGTGAATCCTTGGCTTATTATCTTGAGATGATAAAGTATCAAAGGGGCCAACATTTTGATACTGTGATATGACACCGTCATCTACAGATGTGTTAGGATGCAGGTTACACATGCCTTACTGAAATATTTCGTTTGAGCATTTTATGCTCAATATAGTATTCTCCAGCAGCTTATTATAAATAGAGCTGTTGACAAAATGAAACAGGAAATAAAGCCCTCATAGTAAGTTGGTAACATTTGCAAGACTACACTTTTAAACTTTTTGTTACAATTAGTAGTAAAATCCATCCCCATAGAAAAATTCAGCAAAACTCTTTATTAATAATACAGAATGTACTCTAGCTGCAATAAAATCTCTGTGTTTTAAAAATAAATATCAGCGTGTGGTGCATGTCTATAATCCCAGCAATGGGGAGTTGGAGGCAGGAAGATTACTGCAAACTTGAGTTCAGTCTGGGCTGGGTAGCAAGATCCTGTCTCAAGAAAACAAAACAGAGACGTGGATAAGAGGAGGGAGGGAGGGAGAGAGGGAGAGAGAAGAAAGGGAAGAGGAGAGATGGGGGAGAATATCAACAAAGAGATGAATAGATTTACTAAAGAAATCCATTATAAAATCAGTACAAAGAACTATTGATTGCTTGTCATACTGGAGTGGAAGACTGAGGAGTTGAAAATGCTTTGGTTGTAGCAAATAATGAAACTTGAGGTCATTATAGCGGCTCTCCTCGACTTTGCAGTGAAAAGAATCAGTGCAGATTCTTTTGCCTTCGCAAACTCGCAACTGAATTATTTAACTCACCTTGGAACCCTATTGGCTTTGATAATTTCATTACTTAACAAACTTGGTGAGTCTTTTTAAAGGACCCAATAGAAATGGCTGAAGGCCAGGGTAGGGTAGAGACGCTGAACCCCCATCTGAGAAGAGGATAGATCCTTTCTGTGGAATGAAAAAAGCAACCATTTTAATATCCAGTCTAAAATGCTAACACATCCTGGGGGTAGTCTGTACTATGTTTAAAACACAGTAAACCCCAAATTTTAAAACAGGATCCCCATCTTATTCTCAAGACTAACTTTCTACCAAAATGAATAAAAGTGCTTACAACTAATCATCTACTACACTAAAAATAAAGAAATTACAAATGGCTTATGTCCCATTGCCAGCAACGAGAGTGTTATATGCTAAAGGGCACTTTGATGTTTATAAAAGCCAAATATATATATATATATATATATATATATATATATATATTCATTTCTTACTTCCTATAGCTCAAATATTGTCATTATATAACTGAGCATAAAATAACTTTTGACCCGGTAACTAAAATGATTATGGATAAATAAGATATAAGAAGTTTCTGCTTAGATATCTCATTATTACAGTGTACTAGCTCAATGGAATTAAACAGGGAGAGAACACAATTCAGGGGGAAAAAAGACTAGTTTATTTGTTTTATAAAATAGCAAGAGAAAGCTTAGTGTAGATGGTCAGGAGGAGATAGTCTTAGGTGTCATCCTCACCAAGAACAGCCCAGTACCATTTTTTATTCATTCCTATAGGACAGACAGGGTAGTATAATTCCTGATCCCTGCCTGGTCACTTAAATTCTTCTTAAGGAATCCAAAAGAAAAATAGTTTCAGTTTTGGTTACTCTTAAAGATACTATTCGCAGACGCCCTGGAAGCAACAGTTCCATTTGGTTTCTTGTGTCCCGAGAAGGAACAGTAAACGTAGTTCATAGCAGGGTGACCTCAGCTTTCAAAGGCCGTGACCAATTATTTGAGAGTTGTAATCTGCGGGCTCCATTTTTAAAATGTGTGGGATGACACTGTCGATTCGTACGTTGCCAATGAGACCTTTGAAGAACAATTCCTCAGTGATGGTGGCGTTCATCAGCCGCAAGGCTGGCAGTCTGAGAAGTAATCTCGACAGCCTGAAAGAAAGAGGAGACAGGCAAAGTCAAAAGAGACCGAGCAGGATGAAAAGCATCCGTGTGAAACAACAGAGATCAAACTTTCAAAAATGAAGATGAGCATTTTGGGATGCCAAGGCTTACTGTGGCAGGGTTGCCACCTACTGCATACTGCTCTCTACAGGAAAGCCTTGCTCTGAACATGCCATGCCACGCAGTCCCTGTCTGGCTCCAAGAACCGTGACTACAGTATTAAACCACGGGCTAAGTGTGCTCGAGAACAGCTTTCCAACCCATTGCAGAGGGTAAGAACAATGCTTTATGTTATTAGAACACAGGAGGTTCAAAGACTCTTATTTTTTGAAATCACATCCCCACACACAGACACTTGACAGCTAAGGTGGACAGCCATTGCTGAACACATGAGCAGTCTGTGCATCAGGGATATGCTGGGCAGAGGGGGATCCAATCGAAGGTGGGGCAAAATAAGAGAACACAACATGCTGCCTGCTTAATCTCTGGGATTCCTTATTTCATATTTTTTTGTCTGAGATTGACCAGAGGTAACTGAAGCCATGCATACAGAAGCCTACTAGAATTTTCAGAAGTGCATAGTATTATCATAAGGAAAGTGAAACTCAGACATTAAACCCAGCAAGCAAAAACAAAAACAAACGAAAAAACCCAGCCAGTATGGCATTATCCATGTATAATTAAAAACTATATTCCTAATCATTCTGATCTACTGTTTTTCCTCCAGAGGTGGGTGGCTGTTTTTATAAAAATAAGAAAGAAAAATTCCCTCCCACCCCAAACAACACTGGTGAGAAATGACTTGGAAGAATTATCATAAACTATATTACAAGGTAACATATTAGTATATATTATTAGTATATATTAGTTAAGAGTGTTTTAATTTATCATTTCCCCTCTCTTTTTAACAAATACAATTATTTCATCTGAAAAGTTGGGATCTACAGCTCCTCTGCCTGGGTGAGGCTGGACTCTGACAATCCTGCATCCTTGGGACAGTTTCTCACCCTCTCTATTTGAAGCAGTGGTTCTCAACCTCCTGAACACTGAATCCTTAAATAACAGTTCCTCACGTTGAGGTGACCCCCAAGCATAAAATTATTTTCTTGCTACTTCATAACTGTAATTGGGTTTTGTTAATTAAGCTATTATTAATTGTAATAGAAACATCTGATATGCAGGATATCTGATGATATGAACCCTGTGAAAGGTCATTCAACTCCCAAAGGGGTCGCGACCCACAGGTTGAGAGCCACTGATTTAGAGCAAGCACTCGTTAGCTCTTGCAGGTAGCACCTGTGAGGAGCTGGTTTCCTATGTGGGAGAGCACACCCAGAGCCTTGTACTGTGTGTGCTACCACTGACCTGAGGCCCTGGAACCTTGGTAGTGGTGAGGAGATCACTCAGGACTTACACAGACTAAGCAAGTTCTAACACTAAGCTGTTCGACAGTGCCATTATGGCTGGATACACCATTACCCATTTCAAAAGTCACGGTTAACTAAAACATTAAATTACTCTTAAAACGGAAAATACTGGTAGAATAGATTTACTAAAATGCTTTTAGATCAGGAATGGTACCACATGCCTATGCATAATCCTAGCAGTTGGGCAGAGGCAGGGGAATTGAGGTTGAAGGCTATACTTGGCTACATGTAAGTCCAAGGCCAAGGTAAGCTACATGAGATCCTATCTCAAAACAAATACAAACCCCTTAAATGAACTGCATTAAATAGTCACAGCTTGGGGGTACCTGTATGTGTCATCTGGATATGTCCTGGTGATATAATCTTGGAATTCCACATAAGCCTTTTCCTGAAATTTCTCAATTAGCTCCATGTTCTCCAGGCCTGGGTGATCTAAGACATAAAGCAATATAGATATTCCAGTTCTGAATGCCAATTTAATAATTCATAGGATAGGGAGACAGGGAATAGAGGAGCAAATAGTTCATTTGACAGAGAAGTCCCACATACGACGTTTTGTTTCTTTATTCCATAAATACTTGCTGGATACACCAACAGTATATTGTAGCCAGTAGTTAACTATTGTAACATCCAATAAAAGCCAGACCACTGGGTGCTACTAATTTTTTTTTCTCAAAAGCAGTGTAATGGTTTTTGTTTAGTCTTTTTCTTAACCATTTTGCTTTTAACAACATAAAATAACCAAAAAGGCTAAATTTAAAAGCACCTATAATCCATGAAATATTTGCAGGTTGTGTTTGTCAAGGAGACACCCAGACATGGCAAACTTTAAAAGTACGTATGAAATTATGACTTATAAACACTTCTATATCTCTATCAGCAAATCATAATGAAGGAACATGACATAATCTATAAAACATTTTGATAGTCATATTTCACAAAATAGGAATATTTAAAGTAACACCATCAATTTATAACTTAACTTTTCAGTTTTACCCAAAGAAAAATAAAACTGGCAAACTGGTTGTGCTAAAATGGAGACATGCGTGGGCTGAGTGTGTCTCACTGGTAGAGCTAGTGCCTGTCCTATATAAGGTTGTATGCTGGATCCCCAGTGCCACAAACAGAACGAACAAAATGAGTGAAAATAGAAATATAGATTATTAGCTCCCGTGAAGCACTTGGCCTGCACTCTCCGCTGAGTTCCAGCCCTGGGCTCATGTGAAACACTCAACAGTGCACAGGATCTAATTATCTTACTCGAACCACTGAGAGGAAGAAGCAGGTTGGCTCGGACAATTTTATTAGGACACAGGTACAGAATGTCTATAGAGTAGAGGCACAGACCCTTCAAGGATTGTGGATATCTCCTATTCACAAATCTTAGTTCGAGGTCCCTTTACTGACTGAAAACTAGATGCTGGAAGGAAAGTGAGAGGCCTGTCTTCCCATGTTTGCGGCTTCCATAAGTTCTTAAGAATGTAACAAACACTGGACACAGCAACAATGGTCTTACATTCTGTATTTAATAGTGCTTAATGAAATGGACCTAAAACTCAAACACTACAGGTCTATGTGCTCTACTGATTTTCTATGCAGATGTCTGATATCCTTAACATTAGATTTAAAGCATAAAATTAGATGATTTTAGCATCTTCAGAGTTTTACACTCATCACAACAATGTAACTGTGGGACATTTTTGTGACTCTAAAGCAACCCACCAACCAGTAGCAATCGGTCCCCAGCTCCCCACTCCCTGACTCTACAAATGACTAATTTGCACTCTTCCTCACGTTTGCCTATATGGGATTAGTATGTGTGCCCGTATGAGTAGTGCCTTTCACTTAGCATGCTTTCATCCTGCTGTAGCTTATATCAAAACTTCACTCTATTTTATACTAACACGATTCCATTGTGTGCATGTATTACATATATACACCCATCTGTCTTTTAAAACTTTTTATTACATTTATGTATTTGCACAAATGCATGAGTGGGGTGTGTGTGTATGTGTGTGTGTGTGTGTGTATGCAGGCACACATACCACAGTGCATTTCTGGAGGCCAGAGTCTTGCAAGAGTAGGTCCATTTACCATGTGGGTCCCAGGGATTTGAATTCATGTTACCAAGCTTGGCGGCAAGCATCTTCACTGGAATGGCTAAGCCATTCCACTGGTCTTATTTTCTTAGGTGTTGTTTTGAGCCATGGTTTCATTTAACCAACGCTGGCCTCAGATTTGTTATGTAGAAAAGGTTATCCTTGAATCTTGATCATCTTGCTTCTATGTACTAAGTACTTAAAGGCATATCCCAGCAAGCCCAGCTTCAGTCACCTTTGTGATGGACAATTACCTAGTATGCACTTTTTGACTATGACTGGTGCCAAGACAAATACTCGCATCCAGATTTTTATGTACATATATAATTTTGTATTTTGAGAACAATGGAATTGAATATATGCTTAATATTTATGGGGGTGTGTGTGGCATATGTCCTTGTTATTACAGGTGTGTGCATGTGTGTATGGAGGCCAGAGGTGGGCGTCAGGTGACTTTCCTCTCTGCCTTTTTTTGGGACAGGGTCTCTCATGGAGCTTGTCAAATTGGTTAGACTAGACGGCCAATGAGCTCCAGAGATCTGCTTGCTTTTACTCCCCAGTGCTGGGGTGCAGGTACAAGGTGCTGTGAATGGCTTTTTACATTGGTGCTTGGGAGTTCTTCTAGCTTGGGTCCTTGTGCCAGCATGGCTGTGCTTGCGAGGCAGGTCCTTTACCCACTGCACTACTTCCCGTCCTTTACCCACTGCACTACTTCCCTAGGCTCCTTATGGTTCATGTTTTCGGCAGGTGCTGAGCTCTTGTCCCTGGCAATCACACCATTTCACATTCCTGCCCGCAGTGCGTGAGAGCCCCGGTGTTTCCACACCATCAAATATATTAATGAGACACACAAGTCCTGGGCATGTGGTGTATCTCTGTAATCTGTATTGGCTATCTGAGGCAGAAGGATTGCTAAGAGTGCAGGTCCAGCCTGGGCTACATGGCCGAGACCCTATCTCAAAAGTGCCAACGTGAGTAAATAGATGAGGAAGGAAGCGTGAGGGTGTGTTCTGTACCCGGGCTGAAGAGGACGATGGCCTTGAGGTAGGCGTACTCACGCCCGTCGATGCAGAGCTTCACCATGCTGTTGCAGAACTCCTGCAGCTTGAAGATGTGCTCCATCAACGACCTCCTCCTCTCTGGGGACATTTTATCTTTAAAACACAAACGCACACTTCCAATTGCCATCTAAAATGTTTGACCGTTCTCACATACTTCCCTTCTGGCTTTGTAGTCAGTATGGAGTATAATCTACCTCTTTACAGACTGTGGCTTCAGATTCAGACTCTCTGCCACGAGGGCCCAAGCTAAGAGATTACTGCTGATAGTGCTCCCTCAGGAAAAAGGAAGTGTGCCGTGGAACACGTGATCAGGCAGAATGACTCAGGATCCGGGGTCAGAAGGGGGCCATGAGCCTGCCTTCTGGGAGCTTTCTCATAGGTGAGATTTATGAGGAATCTCAGCCCTTTATGAGGAAGCAGATGATTTTAAAATATTGTGAAGAAAAGAACATGGTGGTTCATAACTCCAATCACAGCACTTTGGGACGCTGAGGCAGGAGCATAGCTTAATACAAGCCTATGCTACACAATGAATTCTAGGTGAGCTGGGGACTACAAGGTGAGACTCTGTCCCTTATATGAACAAGGAAAAAGGAAGGGAGGAAGGCAGAGGGAGGAAGGCAGGGAGGGAGGGAGGGAGGAAGGAAAGGTAACGTGTAGAGTAATGAGTAGTTAGCGCATGCCTGTTGACCAGCACACGGGGTAGGTTGTGGGGTGTTGAAGGTAAGGGACTCTCAAGACACTGACATGATGTCTTGAAAAAAACTAATAACAACCAAAAGTACAAAACAAATGAGAACAATGAAAAGTAGAAATGTGCTAAGGGATTAAAAATGTATAAATTATTCCTGAGCTTGAAGGCAGCAGGACTTTAATTACTCAGCCATTTTCAAAGTGTTTTTAAATTACTTATTCTCCACTTCCTCGGATGAAGCATGTAGAAAAAAATAAAATAAAAGCAAGGACTCTATGACTTTCCAGTTCTCTCTTCTTTTAAAGCATCTTTTTGCCGCGGGGCACGGTGGCAGGTACCACCATGCCTTACATGCTGGAGCTGAGGAGGCAGAGGTAGGAGACATCTATGATGATCCAGGACAGCCAGGTGTGTACAGTGAGACCATGTCTGCATAAAGGTCTGGCTCTGTCACCCATGATGGCCTTGACCCTGCATCTTCCTAGACCAGTTCTTCCTGGTACCACTGTGCCCACACGTTCCCGTTCTATTCAGATGAGACAATAGGTCCTAGGGAACTGATTCAAAACCAGCTCATCATGTGACTCTAAGGATTAGTAGGAAAAACTATAGCTTAAGAATTGGGAGAGAAGAACACACCCTGAAGTATTTGGTCATTTTCTACCTACAAGCAAATCTACATGGACTTTTATATACCTATACAATGTGATGGTGTGTTCCCATCAACATACGTGTTGGAATCGGGCTGCTAAAGCAGCACTGTTGGAAGGCAGGTCATTAGAAGCAAGTTTGCATTCCTTGGCACATTCAAATGTATTCTCTCCTAGAGACACTGATTGATAACCCAGCCTCAGGCCTTATATTTTATACATATATTTAGTGGTGAGAACTTGACTTCTGAGCCTTTCAGACTTAAATACACTAGCCTTAATATTGTCTTTCTAATTTAAAAATGTTTTGAATGAATAATGCATTTAACAAAATGTTAAGATTACCCAGAAAAAAAGGTCAAAACATCAATACAATCATCATGATATCTAACTTTGGCCATAACGCCTCTTATATCTCTGAAAATATAAAAAATAAAGGCGTGTTTTTACCTTGCTGAAGGCTACTGTGAAGACAGTTGACAAATGTCGCTAATATAGTTGCCACGTTCATCACTTGCCAGCACTGGGCAAGACCAAGGGTGAAGAGTTCATTCCAGTACGCTTTTACCAGGGATATGCTGTTTTCTTGCCTAGTAAAAACAAAAACAAAAGCACACATTAAATATAAACTTCACACTGAACGGTGTACTTAAAAAAAAAATCACCAAATTACAACTATTCTAAAAGATCCATGGGCACATACCCAAGAATCCTGGGCTCTGTACAGTTGACAGAAGAGATCTTAGACAGCTAAATCCCAACCAGTCAGTCAGCCAGTTCATAAGAACAGCTACAGAAAGACTTATGGGAAGCCAAGTACAGCGGGTTCTGAACTTCCCTGACACAAAACAATGATATGTCCCAGACTTGTCAGTTATCCTGAGGTGGTCATTACGAATTGTACATGTGTGGAAATGACCCACTGCTCTCCACAGACATTCACAGCTTTTATGAATCAATTGCCAATAAGAATACATTACAAAAAGAAAGAAAGAAAGAAAGAAAGAAAGAAAGAAAGAAAGAAAGAAAGAAAGAAAGAAAAAAGAAAAATTAAATGAACAGGCCATGCCATGCCAGGCACTGGTGAAATGGGAATTGACCTGGTGGATCAAGTCTGCCTATGAGAGAGAAGGGTTCATAAATGTGTAACTTATATCTTACATAAGTGTTATATATAATAGACATGTGATTATATGTACAGCTAACTTCGGACAACTAAATTTCCATTTACTATGAAGAAGACATGTAAGCGAAAAGGAGAGTCAGGGGAGAGGAGTCTAAGGCAATGAGATGAAATGCTTTGAAGAGAAATGTGAGGTAATTTTTAAAAACGTACATGCATGTGTATGTGACTATCTGTATATGTCATGTCTGTGTGTGTGTGTGTGTGTGTGCGCACGTCCTTGCATGCACACACACATGTGTCCTCAGAGGCCTGAAGAGAGCACTGGATCTTCAGGAGCTGACACAAGCTGTCAAGAGCCTGTTGTGGATGTTAGGAATCAAACTCAGGCCCTCTGCAAGAGCAGTAGATGCTTCTAAACCCTTAGTCATTTCTCCGGTTCCAGGAGATAACTATTAAAACACAAAACTGTTGGGGGTAAGCTTGCAATTCCAGCAGACGAGAGGTGGACGTAGGAGGATCAGGGGTTCAAGGACATTATAGTGGTTACAGGTGAGCCTAGGCTACACTACTCCAGAGAGTAGAGAACATTTACTGTGGCAGTTAGGGAGAACACGGGCAAGCTTGATACGGTGGTGTGATGGTGAATGTCCATTTTCAGTGCTACCATGACTCCCAGTATGATGGACAATATCATTTCTTAAACTGACAAGCCAAAGGAAAGTCTTCCCTCTTTAGGTGGCCTTTGTCAGAACAATGAGAAATGAGATGGGAACATGGCATTCAGTGTTCAGTAGTGTTGGGTGCATTTCTAAACACAGCCCTGTCTTCTCTGAATGTTCTTTCTCTACTTACATGATCCAGTTAACAAACCCACTCCTTCTTTGAGGGCTAGACTGGAGATTTCTTTGTTCCCCTGCTGAGGATTAAACACTGACCACAGAGCCATGAGCCACATCCCCAGACCCGGGATGTACAGTTACGTGTTTATTGATTGACTTTTGTTTGAGGCAGTTTCCCCGTGATGGTTTGGAATACACAGTCTCTCGCCTCAGCCTGCCTAGTGCACCATGATATCTGGTTTCAGAGCCTGTTTCATTGAAGAAACGCCCTCTTTTGACACACCCGTCTCCTTTCCAAACCCCTTTGGGGCTTACTTGTCCATCCAGTCAGAGTTTATGTTACTAGATTTCCTAGTTTCCCAGTTAGTTGTGTTAGGGGTCTGTTTGCCACACTACCCAAAGGTAAAAAGTTCTCTTATGCATTTCTGCATCACAGTAAACAGCTCTAAGTATACAGCATATAGAAGAAAAAATCTGTGGGGTTGGAGATTTAGCTCAGTGGTAGAGTGCTTGCCTAGCAAGTGCAAGGCCCTGGGTTTGGTCCTCAGCTCTGAAAAGAAAGAAAGAAAGAAAGAAAGAAAGAAAGAAAGAAAGAAAGAAAGAAGGAAGGAAGGAAGGAAGGAAGGAAGGAAGGAAGGAAGGAAGGAAGGAAGGAGAGAGAAAGCAATCTGCTTTTTTCCCCTTATGTTAGTTTTGTTTTGTTTTTATCTGTGAGGATATAGAGAACAGGCAGAGGTAAAGACCTTAAGAGGACAGAGAAGCAGTCTGTAAGTGTGGGTCTTTTTACAAGAAAAAAAAAAGTCTTCAAACAAAACCAATATTTTATTATAAGATAATTACATGGTAAGATTTCTTTCCTTTCTCCATAGTGATTCAAGTTAGTAAGGACATGCTGGTAAGAAACATGTTCACCCTGTGACTGCACATAAATTGTTTCCTTCTTGAAAATGCCACGGGGCATTGGAAAGCTGGTCCACAAGTGAACACGCTTGTCACCGAGCTAGACACCTGCCAATCCCCGGGACCCACACAGTAGCAGGAGAGAACTCACTACTGCATGCTGTCCTCTGACCTCCGCGTGTGTGCTAGGCCATGTTCAACCCCATCCCCCAAACACAACGTAAATTAAAATATAATGAAAAGAAAGAAACTTACAACTTTGTGCTTACGGTATGCTTAAGTGAACTTGGCACGCCCACATAAAAGATAATGCCAAAAAAGCCACAAAAGCTAGCATTTCCAAAGAAACTGGAAGTGGTGGTGCATGCATATGCACAAAGCACATGGGAGGCTGAGGCAGGAGGATTGTGTGAGTAGGTGGCTAGCCTGGGCTGCATAATGAGTTCCCAGCTAGCCTGCACTACAATATGAGATGCTATCTCAATCAAACCAACAAGCAAACAAAACAAAACAAAACAAAATCCCCAAAAGTTTACAAAGCAGTTTTTCCTCCTGGGAATAACTGGGGTGAGAATTTTACTTCCGAGTTTGGGAAGGATGGCCTGCCATCAGAAGAAACTGCCTGAGAAAAAAACTTGAGAGGAAATCTCAAATGCAAAGACAACAGTATTCTTAAACGTTTACACAGAAAATAATCAAGAGAAATCTATCCAGGTTAAAATCAAGGAAAATAAGAAGACACTGTTCAGTTGTCAGAAATGATAAGATCCAGAATCAAGAACAGTGAGGGAGAAGGCACCATTTGGCCACTGCCGAGGTGAGCATAACTAGTCAGTGCTTCCTGGAACAACTTCTAACAACATCAAAGCAGACATGCACGCCTTCAAAAACACAGCCATTCCACTGGGAAGAACCTGTTTTATGGAAACACTAATACACATCGACAAAATGTGCTTGGTGGCCCTGGACAGAAGAAGGAGGCTGGCAACAGCCCAGTGCCCATGATACAGATGCGTATGTAAGCTGTAACAGTCCCATAAAGTAGGCAGCCGTTAGGAACGGTGGGAACTTAGACACGTGACACAGGAAGCTTGACAGTGTCATGTGACACCAAGAACAGCATGTGCCAATATGTTCTGGTGTTTGGATGCGTGATAACTATAGCCTGGAAAGGGCTGGCAGAACCCTGAACTCTTGGATTAGTTATTTTATTTCTGGAGATGTTTCACTTTATGGTTCTATCCTTCAGGGTCACTTTGGGCATGAAGAAAAGTCAAAAGCAAACTAGTTTTCATCTTAACCTCTTGATTATAAAAAGAAAACAGCTAACCAAGGTAGTTAAATAAAGTGGTAGTTTGGATGAGAACAGACCCTTTAGGCTCATATGTTTAAATACTAGGTCCCCAATTGGTAGAACTGTTCGGGAAGTGTTCAGTGGTATGGCCTTGTTGAAGGAAGTATGTCACGGGGGTGGGCACTGAAGTTCGAAAGACCCCACCCGTTCCCAGTATTTCTGTGCCCCTTGCTTGAAAGTCAAGAATAAGTGCTCAGATGTCGCTGCAGCACCATACCTGCCTGACCAGTGTGATGTGCTGCCCGTCATGATGGTCATGGACTCATGGACTCTAACCCTTGGAAAACATAAGATCCCCCTCCAACTCTCTTCTTTTCTAAGTTGACGTGGTCATGATGTTTTATCAAAGCAATAGAAAAGTCACTAGTATATATGGTGAACACAGGAAAGTAAAAATAACGAGGAAAGAAAAAAAGTCAGAGCTGGCCTGGGCTACCCCTTGTATTGGAAACACCTTGACCTTGTGGAGAAGGACCAGAGAGCAGCTTGGATTCAGTGCAGAGGAGGGGAAATGTTGAAACAAGGAGCTGGAGGGGGAACTGAGAGTAAGCCACCGGGTTAGTTTATTGCCAGAGAAAAAGTCAAAGGGTTACTTGTAGAAGTCAATTACAGGAAGTATCCATCTATTTATTCCAAAGGAAGATCCAGCTAGAGATGGGGTGTGTGACTGTAATCCCAGCACTTAGGAATCTCACAAAAGAGGAGCAGGAATTCAAGGCCAACCTGAGCCACATAGGGAGTTCAAGGCTAACCTGAGCCACATAGGGAGTTCAAGGCTAACCTGAGCCACATAGGGAGTTCAAAGCTATCCTGGAATCATAGCAAGACCCTGAATCAAAAACAAACAAACAAATACCTCCCCTCCCCAAAAAAAACAAACATAAGAAGCTAACTACCATTATGGTCAGCAACAAAAGAAGTACTCTCAAATCCTGGTACTATGTTGTTTAAACGACTTGAAAAAGGCCATTACATTAGGGGAAGAAAGCAACAAGCCCTCCTGGAAGAAGAAGGTTCCTAGGAGAACAGAGACAAATGCCATTATGTCTAGCAGACAGTGTCCAGTCTGGCCTCAGCATCGCAGTCACGGCCCTGCTCCTAAGCAGTTGTTTCTGTTCCTAATTTGGAGATATGGAAACAAAGGTAACCTGGTCTAGATACACAGGAGTCAACACACAAATACACCATTTATATCTGTTAGGAAATAAGTGACTATCACTGTCACCATTAGCACCTATTCTGAAAATCTCTTTCTTCTGAGAAGCAAAAGAAGATGCATTTAACTAAAGCCCCACAAGCATTCATAACAAAAGCACTACAGTGGCCATGTCACCTGGACCTGAGGCCAACCCAAACATTTGGCATCCACATAAATACAGCCAGTCTATTTACCACCCAACGCTGAACAGAATCCATGGTCCTTAGAGAAGAATAATCAACAGCATGCAATAAATCCACCAAACGACAGGCTTCAAACCACCAGGCTACAGAAGACGTGGCATTGTTAATGGAAGCAGAGCTCTCTCTCTCTCTCTCACACACACACACACACACACACACAGAGAGAGAGAGA